TTCTTAACCATAGTCTTGGTTAAAAGTTGAATATTAGCGGTAGCGAAAGAGTTTTGAGTGTAATCAACTAATTGCTTGGAGAAGGAAGAGAGGACATTGGGAAGAGCTTCGACAAGGGTAACTCTGATATCTTTGGCAATTTCGGGGCAAGATCTCTTAAGATCATCATCAACGAAATCTTGCAATTCAGCAGCAAATTCAACACCAGTGGGACCACCACCGACAACAACCATATGAAGGAGATTCTTACGTTCTTCAGCGGAAACGAAAGCAGCGGTTTCAATTCTATCCATTAATTGTTGACGAAGCTTCTTAGAGTCGTCAATTTCTTTCAAGAAACAAGCGTTTTCGGCAACACCGGGAATACCGAAGGTAGAGGTTTGAGCACCAACACCCATGACGATGTAATCGTAGTCAAGGGTCATTTCAACTTCTTCAGGGGTGTTGACAGACTTTAAAGTAACCTTCTTGTTGACGTTGTCAACAGCGGTAGCTTCGGCTTCGTAGTATTTCACGACACCCTTCTTTTGACGAATGATACCGTGAACGGGTTCAATGATAGATCTGTGTTCGACAGTACCAGTGGGGGCACTGGGAAGAAGAGGAGTGAACAAGAAGTAGTTACGGGGAGAGATGAGGACGACATTGTACTGGGTAGTATCCAACTTTTTCAACAAGGAAATGGAGCCCCAACCAGAACCAAGGATGACCAAGGTCTTCTTTTTAGCGTCGGGGACGATTTGTGTAGTGGGATGGCGTTCATCGTAGATGCCGTAACCGAGGTAGCCAAGGCCCAAGAGGGAGGAAGCAAAGATGGTACGCTTGATGTTCTTCCAAATGTTACTCTTCGTCTTTGCGCGTTCGACGGGGTCAGCGCTGAGGGGCTTGCCTTGGTTGAAACGGATAGCCGATGAGGTCAAGGATCTAGCTCCGCTACGGGTAGCAAAGGGGAGGGAGGCCCTGGTGCTAATGCGGGTGGCCCTAATAACAGAGTACATAGATATGGTTGATGAGGTCCGAACTTTGGAGTTGGGAACAAGTCAAAAAAAAAAATTAATAGGACAGGGAGGAAAGAGACCGGAGTTTAAAGAGAAACGGTTTGACGGCGGCCGACCAGGGAAGTAGGAAAAAAAAAAAAAAAAAAAAAAAAAAAAAGTAGAGAAAAATGGAAATATAGAAGAGTAAGCGGCAACCGGCCCCGCTTACACAGAATGAACGACAATCTCACACATTGAGGATTGGAACATACAGTGAGACTATGCAAAGTGGGCGAATTAGCGGCCAATATAACTTTTATTATGCAAAACTTTGCAGTACACGGTTGTTATTATAATCGCTGATTGTTTGTGGAGAGTTGATCACGTACCGGTCGGGCTTATTACTCGCCAGCAGGCTCGGTGATTTTTCAGATGTATATCCAGTCTGGTGCCAGAAGGAGCGACCACCGCCTGGCGGTGTGTGATTGAGTGCACTAGGTTCTAGAGTAAACGCCCCTTAGAAAAACAGTATAGATGGGGTTTTCGCCAAAAGGGTATTTTGGATATATACTATGAATATTACTACTACTACATCTTTCCATATATACCAACCAACGGGGTGCTCTTAATTATTTTACCCAATAGCCAGTTTTATTTTGATTACCCCTTTTTTTGTTTACATTCATTTAATGCTGGTGCTGTACTGGCAGACTGAGGGGTGCGTAATTGCTAATCCAGAGGACGAGGAGGCGGTGGTGATCGTGCGGGGACCCTCTATTGGCGCCTATTCTTACCTCGAGGACCACCGCCTGATGGTGCCACCGCCGTTTTCTAGACCTCCTTTCCTTGATCTCGTACACGCCAGTTAGTATAGGACTTTGGGCCCCAAGACTCACGACCTTGGGACCTTTTTTACTGAGCGTGTGTGTGGTGTCCCTCTCGCTTCGCTACCCGGCGCTTACTGCGCCAGGGCAAGGTGGGCGTGATAATGCCGTCAAGTCTGCAGAGCTGGGTGGGATCCGGAAAAAATATTCAGCCTGATCTGCCAGGGTCGGGAACAACTCACAACGTGCCGGCTAGTTGTATCTCCGTGCCGCGTCCCCCCCAGTGATGTCGCAGCCATCAACTCGTTCTTGGAGTCGACTTTTCACAAACATCCGGTTTAAAACTATTCTATATGGCCAATCTAATGGCATTTATCTGATTCTATAAAGTACATACAAACCAGCTGGCCAGAAGGGCTTATCCACAACCCCCCACCCCTCCCAAAAAAAAAAAAATACTTGGCCGCTGGCATATATACTCTTTGTAGACACATATTCGCAGTGGCTATCAAACCGGCTGAAGATCACACACTAGCCGGTTTTGTCCATGCTGATCGTTTGTAATTATCCCTTAGCGTTGGCTCTTATTTACCACCGGACCGCTCTCGTTGAACCGGACTCGCCATAGCGAATATAGAGTTACCCGCCGTATTCCATGAGCCTTTTCCTCACTCTTTTCAAGCTCAAATAACCTCCCACATATGTGCCTTGGGGTATCAGCTCCCAAGCCAACTGATAATGCGCACAGTACCATCCCGCTCTTGTATCTCGGGAACCCCTCCCCATCTAAAATGGTTTCATGGACCATAGTCTCTCAGGCTGGCGATACTCCACACGCTTGATTACATACCATGGCCTTTTACGCTGCTAATTGGGGTTTAAACGTATTTGCGACCCGATCTTTGTCAAGAGGACAATCATATATTACAATACAATTATAAACCCCAGTATTTTCATAAACCAGGAAATATTCTTAGCTACACTTAAAGTACAACTACCGGTGCTCCATCAAAACGAGCCATATAAAAAAATTTAAGATTTTATTAGACTTCCATTTGATATACAACTTGATATACACTAGATGCCATTTAAACCTCACAAGGAAGAAAGAATAACATTGATAAAACGGCTTTTTCGAAAAATTATAGCAGAAAAGCAACAGGTAAATACCTGCCAACAACTAAACCAAGTCCTAGAATTTGACATCAACAATCTGAATGATTTTAAAAAGAATTGTCTTCCTTGTAATCATTGACTGCGGTTTCCTTATCGTCAATGCTACTAGGCTGATTTTCGCTAGCAGCGGGATGAGATTTCAAATGAGTTATAGGAACGGATCGGGGTTCTGAGGCGGTGGAGTCATTCGAGAATATCTCATTGACGGCTCGAATACTAGCATCGGACGGGGTGGACAGTGTCTTAAAAGTAGTGGTTTCGGTAGTCACAATCGGGACAGGGATGGTTTCACTAATCGGTTCTGATGAAACATATACGGTCTCTTCGATCAAGATAGGACTGATGACAGACACCTTTTTACTTGTCTCGGTCTCTTTGGTATTATAAACCTCTTCAGATCGATCAACGCTTTCTTTCTCAACGGTACTGGAACTGCTAGTGGCAAAATCCTGACCCTTGACGTCGGTAGATTCAAAACCGCCTCTGGAAGAACGAACAGTGGAAACGACTGAATCGACTCTCTCTTTGATATCTTCAACATAAGGGCCGGTTGTTTTATTAATTTGGGATAAGCATGAATCAACCTTTTCTTGAGAAATCTTGGTAGCCTTGTGGAAATTAGCGTCAATAGTCTTTTCAAACTTCAAGTATAAAGCCGGTACTGTAAAAGCCAGGATTGTCGACAAAACTAAAAGGGTCCAAAGTGATACCAATCCAATGGCTTTACACAGAATATAAGACAGACCGCAGGCTACCATAGAAGTAAAGGGATCCTGGACATCTAGAATTCGTCTGAATTCCTTAAGGGCGCTTGTCACTGAATCGGCCAAGACCTGTACCGAATTCTGGATATGAACGTCCTGTACCATAAGATATTGCGAGGGTTTGACAGAGCTCGAAATCAGGCCCTTATCCTCGCCATACAGAGACCGGGTAAAGTATTCGGTAAATGTAGAGACCCCAAATAGCCAGTAAGCAATCCAAAGAACAAAGGGAAGAATGCTACCGAATTTGAGCAAAAGAAGCAATACAATTGCTGATGCGAAGGACCCGCCACTTTTAACGGGATCGGACCAAGTCAGGATCGGCGGCATTCTCTGTTTGAATGTTTTTTTGGTAGGAAGTGCGGGTTTGATATTGTCGCTCATTTTTATAGAGGCAGAGTGTCTAACAGGGATTTCACAGATAATGAAAACTAAAGGTTATGGCTGGGCTTATAGAGGAGGGATTGTAATATGGTATATTGAAATAGCAGCAATAGGTTGACTGGTTGAATACAGAATATACTGGTAAAAGCTAGGAATTAAAATGTAGAAATTTTTCAACTTGATAAATAAGGGCGAACGGGGGGCAATTAATACTTTATTGCGGAAAAGAAAAAAAAAACTGACTGACGGCAATCAATATTTCATTTGATTACAGCTGATATACATCCATCGATTACTGCGGCTCATTGCAGCTTGCGTTGCCAAAGAGTGCGGTGATCGTTCAGTCCTTCAGCGCCGCAAAAGCAACAAAAATTAAAAAAGACGACCAATTTTCATATATAGCAACCTGGCAACTCAGGTGTCTTTCCTAATTATCAAGATATCATGTTGTATTGCCCATTTGTTTGATGTTGCGAAAAAGAAAAAAGAAGAACGTGTTTCATATGTAATTTTACATTGCCGTTTGGTGTCGAGCTTTTTGGAGGGGAAGGCCATTTTCTCCATTATTTTTAGGACTTTTGGAATTTCGAAATTACCAGAAAAATATTAAATAAACAACTAAAAACTTCTCTAAAACTATTTCCAATTGTACTATTAAATATATATATATATATATATCTATATATTTATATAAAGCCTAAATTTTTCTACAAAGTACTCTGGTAAAGATATCGTAATATCATAAACAGCCACAAAAATAGACAACCGTTAGAGTTGCTATTAGCATTTTATTGTACAATATTACGGCCCGAAATGCCACAATGAAATATAGAAAATTCACGTTCCTCTATTCAATAAAGGAAAAAATTGAACGCGGCCTCATACCGGAATTGAACCAGTGATCTTCGCATTACAAGTGCGACGCCTTAGCCACTTGGCCAAAGAGGCTTTTTATGAAATAGTAAGGGTTTTAGGATACTGGTTGTGGAAAATCTCAGCCCAACCGAACGAGAATAAACTCAAAAGTTTTAATGGCTCAATTGCATGGTTGAGAATTAATGTATTGGCGAAATCTGTTCATTCAAATCTTAGCCAATTTGAAAGCAGAGTGCCAGTTGTCTAAATAAAGAAAAATAACAAATCCGTAGGGTGGTAAAATTACTACATCTCAGAAATACGATTAGGATGACGAATAATTCTGAAAAAATAAAAACCTAAACCGCGTTGGTTTTTATCAACTATTCCAACAAGTGCATGGAAAACGCATTCCTAGTACCAAGAAAATGAAACTGCATCCTAAAAAAACGTTTTTTAGGTTGTTGCCTCAAGCCGGAGTCGAACCGACGATCTTAGCATTACTAGTGCTACGCCTTACCAACTTGGCCATCAAGGCGGTAATATTGTATAAGAATACTATTAGTGGGTTAAGAATTATCACGTTTCAGCTGGGCTTCAATACTGGAAACGCAACCTTGAATATGATGATTAAGAGAACAAAAGTAATTAATTATGTAAATATTACAATAGAAGCTTATTCTAATAAAACAAAATGTATATGCGTGCCAATTTATAGTGTAAAAAATAAATAGAGTTGAAGGGGGGGGGAGTACAGTTATGCTAAATTGAAACAGTTTAACATTAGAAAGGAAAGAATATTATATAGATGTAGTTAACCATTCCCATTGAGAACCACCGATGGAGTTGGAGCCGGAGAAATTCTGTGATTCATGATTTTGGGACGGGTGTGGTTTGTCTGAAATGGTACCCATTGGCTCACTGGAGCTAGCCCTACTTGAATGACCAGAATCGACAGCAAAGCTAGATTTCGGAACACCACCTGGCTTCTTATAACTTGTCTTAATCGTCTCTTTTGAATCATTTTTAACCGGTCTAGCTGGCCTTTGGCGTGATGAATTTGATGCTCTTCTACTTTTAAAACCAGGCGGAATTTCACCCACTGCCGATGAACCTCGTCTACCCTTATTTCCAGATAGATTCAAAGGTATAGAGCTACCAAGTGTTTCACTTACTTTGAATGAATTACTGCTCCCTTTTGAATTAACGACTACTCCACCACTGCCTTCTATAGGAGAACTGGTGGTAGATGTGGAGGCCGATCCAGATACACCCACTTGACCGCTCCGGTTACGTTTTTTAATCACATCAGTCTTCAGTGATAACGGCCGGACAACCCCATGCAATTTCAAGAATAACCCACAAGCATTACATAATGGCTGACCATCCGGATCTTTTCTCCATAGGGGTGTTGTTCTTGTATAGCAATTACTGCAAAATATTTGTGTAATGTTAACGGACGAGGTTGTCGGTAGCGAAGAGGAAATATTGGCTTCTGGGGTAACAGCTGGCTTTGAAAACGTCACACTGTTCCTCTTTCTTGGCTTACAATTAGACATAACGTCAAACTTGTTTTCAGATACCATATTTTTCATATTGATAGCTGAAGCTGATCTCTGTATTGACAATGAAGGTGAAGTATCGACGCGGCGTAAAGATGAAGATAAATACGAGCCATTACTGTTGGAAGGATAGAAGTTTGTTGATGAATTTGCGCGAGAAAATTGTTGCATCTGCGCACCAGGGGCGGATGAAGCTCCATTAGACATCCTATTAACCATATTTGACTTTTGATTAACCATATTGGACTTCTGAAAGTTTATACCATTGGGATCAAAGAATGGGGCTTCAGGCTCATGGGATTGTTCATTTTCATGATCAGGTTCATCGACAAATGAAAAACTAGGAGCAGAAGTCCGGTAGACAGACTTTATATTAAGATTGTCTTCACCGAGGCTAAACATTCCATTATTGCCAAAGATAGAAGAGTCAACATTTCCTCTAGCAGTTACTCCTTCTTCATTGAGTGACCCTTTGTATTGAGACGACCTCAGGTCACTTATACTATTATAAATGTCGGCTGACGGGGAAGAAATAATAGCGTCCTCGCTAGATACTAACATATCAGCGTATTGCGCCAGTGATAGGGATGAGTGATGATTATTCAGGGGCATACTTTGCGCCGATTGCCACGAAGATGATAGATTTTCACTAGTATCTAAGCCCATATCTTGAAGATTTGTAGGGAATGGCTCTGAAAAAGCAGGCCCATTGATACCATTTATATTGTGACCAACATTGTGATTGCCGTTTGTCGAAGAATTTCGACTCATAGATGAACCAGCAAAGCTACCCCTGGAAGAAATACCATTAGGTCGATCTTTCGGGTTCGATATCGTATCAAAATAAAAACTGTCTTTCGCACCACCAAAAAAATTTGGCGTAGTACTATTGGATATTGACCCTGAGAGAGAGGGGTTTGGAGAGGATAAAAAGTCCTCTCCAGAGGTCATAGAAGAAGAAATTCCATGCCCACTCGGTTTGTTGTATGAATCGAAAGAGCTCGAAACATTTGAGGAAAAGCTTCCTGATACGGAAGGAGGGCTGTCTATCAACATAGAGTTATTTGAACCATCGGTCACGTTTAAACTACGAGGTCCAGAGCTGATATCAAAGCTTTCGATATCTCGCGGATCCATCGATAATTGAAAGCCTCTAGAATTAGATTTATTGATAGTGTTCTGAGAGCGGACATCTAAATTTGGCTTGCCAAATTTATCGGCACCACTATTATTGGACGAGGCTCTTGACAAAGCACTTCTTATTGACGATGTAGCAGTGATCTTTGGGGCTTGATATTGATCCGACTTGGCAAAGGAGAATGACGGCGAACCAAAACCAGGTGAATCAGAAGCCTCGCTAACACTAGCTGAATTGTCCTAAAAGATTAAAAAAAAGTTAGTTTTAGATGATTAATTATTTTCCGGGTCTGAAAAAGTAAAATAAAACTTACAGAGTAATGAACTTCTTGGCTTAACTTTTTGATATGCGCCAAATAGTCGAATTCGACCTTATTGTGATCTTTGGAAGAACTTAACTTGGATGAGTCAAAGCCTGGCCGTGTTGTAGACCGGTTGCTACAAGGACTAGAGATTATGCCGGATTTTCTGCTTTCAATTGAATCTAAGTTTGACTCTGTGTAAGAGTGTAAATTTGAATCAGGTTGTGGTTTTGAATCGAAATTCTTATATGCGTCAAAGGAAGACGATATATTATTAAATCTTCCTGAAGATTCGTCGATGGGGTAGCTCATTTTCGAAATTTCATCTTCTAAAGTGAGCGTCAAATTCGAATGGCTAGACGATTCTTCAATGTTTTGTAACGCAGAGTGGTTATCATAACTGGGGTTTGAATAAGGGGTAATATTCTGTTGAACATTTGAATTTTGAAGATCATACCAAGATCTGTCTTCGGATGTTCTATCATCGAGCATAGAGTCGTCGCTGTGAGAGTTGATTATGTTATCCCCACTGATGGGATTCCTAGCGCGACTTGTACTTTTATTCGCAGAGTTTTGACGGCGAAGGGTATTATCGAGAAAAGAGTTGCGCGGGGTGAAGTTCTTTTGGGGTGCTTTAGTTTCCGAGCTATTTCTTTGACTATTATTATTTGACGATGATGAGGGGGCATTATTGTATGCGTAGCTTTCCACAGAGAGATCTGGATTTTGGTTGGAGCGTTTTAGCTTTTTCAGGTTGTAAGCCATCATTCGCCAGGCCAGGTTTTCCATTCTTTGCTGACTTGGCAAATAAAGCTTGGCCCGGTTGTACATTTGCCATAGCTGGGTTGACGATTCCTCGTCACTTAGGGAAATTGTGCTTGAATAGGGCATGGTCGAAGAGGTGTTTCTGTCTGGGCGAAAAGAGTTATGGTATTCCGGGTTTCCAAACATGATATCGAATGACTACTTTGGCGGGTTTGGCCTAGACGTAAAAGCGGATTTGGATCGGATAGTCGACAAGCTAGAGAAATGGTACGGGAGGGATATCGTGCAGAGTAGGTGACTCGATAGGTGAGATTGTGAGAGCGGCACGGCTTAATCCGGAGGATATAGTGTCGAGGGGTATAACGGCGACAGGAACAGGGGTATTTTTGGGTATTCTTTATATCAGGAGGGCGTAGACGGTTAGATTTTCGATTTTTGGACGAGATTATGATTTAGATGAACGATTTTCTTACCAAAAACCCAGTCAGTCGACGAACTAAGAAATAGTTTAACGGTGGACCCAGCTAGTCCGATATCTAGCGATACGCTATACCCTGAAAGAAATGGCCCGACATGATTGGGTGGGTGCCAACTGATAAGTAGTAGTGCATGCAGGGAAACTGGTTGATAGGCGCCAATAAACAGCGCTTAGCAACCTTGCTGCCCCGACAACCGTTGAAATATGCCAGAGTTTACATAATAGCTATGATACCGAATCAAATTTCCAAACGACTCGTACTTATCAGCAGCTGAGTGTGTATACGGTGCTTGCATACGGCCCATGTCAGGCAAGATGTATCAGACAAGCGAGATGTGTCGTGTCCAACAAGAGAGCACCCGTTAAGGAGATGGCCAGGCCCGAGCACTGGGGAGAATGGAGGTTGGATTTTATTTTTTTATTTTTTTTTTGCTACAGAGAGAGACCCCGACAAATCGAGAACTACCGGAATATTTCTTTCCTTGTCCTTGTCCTTGTCCTTGTGTTTCGGCTTCGGCTTTGGTTTCTTTAAACTCTGAGCGTCACATTGTCTTTTCGTTTTCGCTGCATCCGCCGCCAGTTCCCGAGACTCGGCTCGAGCAGGGGGGGAAAAAAGAAGACTTTGTCTGATGCGATTAAATATCACGCATACGTCAGGCTGAAAGGTTAGTAGACTCGGCCACAGATGGACAGGACGCGTCCTGGTCTACAAAAACACTGAACGCTCAGAATTATAGTTTAGATACTAGTCAAATTGCCGATTAATTCGAGTTTACCAGCTTTGCTGCAAAATGCCCGCGCCCATAGCCGGCTTTTTTCCCGCCTAGAGTCCACCATCGCTAGCGCCCG